ATACTTGCTGAATCTTTCATACTCCTTCGAGATTTGGAATGCAAGCTCCCTAGTGTGACACATGACCAACACTGACACCTACAATTTAATATGTTGATCTTATGATCCCTGCTTTTTTCGCGTCGAAATTTTGTACCTCTCCATCAACAGGTTCCAACTGCTGTAGAGTAGCTAGGACAAACACGGCTGTTTTGCCCATACCGGATTTAGCTTGACAGACGATATCCATACCCAAAATCGCCTGCGGTATACACTCATGTTGCACTGAAAAGAAAGAAATTAGAACTAGCCTGTGGTGGCAGATAAAACTCAGCTTGGTAGGGAGACCCGACATAAAAAGACTGGTGGGGACAGTTTGTTCGGCGAGGGGAGGGCATTTTGCACTTTTGCTACTTCCTATCAGTACAGCCTCTTCTCGAGTTGACAGGTTTTACCATGATGGCTTGACGAGCTTGCTCCAGCTTCACAAGAGTTCACAGGTTTCACCAGAGTGAGACTTGTAAACCGGAACTAGTGAAGCAACGAAAGTGCAAAATGCCCCCCCCCTAGTCGCCGAACTGCGCCAGATCGTTGTTCGTCGTTTCATGAGTTCTTCGAATAGGATATAACCGATTTCCAGTACACGGGCCACGAAAATGCAGGCTCTATATTAAACAGGTTTGAGTTAATGCTTTGGTTCCACTCTTAACGAAATTGGGATGGGAAAACAAAGGCGAAGAGACTTCCAGCCAGGGCACGCCATCGCGTTGTGATCATTTTCTGAAAATTACGACCCCCCTAATTCCATACTAAAATACGACCCCCTCCCAGCCCTCTGTCCTTCCTCATCGAACCGAGCCGTCGAGCGGGGGGGGGGGGGATGAAGTGTCGGAAATAGTAGTGAGTCCATGAACTCCCTCCCCTCCCAATAATGACCAAGTACGACCCCCTTCACCCTTACGATGATCACAGCGATGGCGTGCCCTGCTTCCAGCACAAGATGAAAAAAGCTCAGCTGTGCAGTTCTGAGTGCTAATGCTGCCTTCGTCAACGATGGCTTTGAAGAAACGACGAAACCAAGGCAAAGGAAAGTATACGTATCGAGTGGAAGGCATGACGAACATGCGTAACTGGGATACATGCAGAATGCTCTGCTCTACAGGAAAGAATGGTTAACCGCGGAAATGGGACAATTTTTTGCAGTTTCTTACTTCACACGATTTCGCAGTTCGTCGTTTCTTCGAACACGCTTTTCCTTTTCTGCAAATTCTGCATTTCTCCGGAGTCGTCATTTTTCAGATCGATACGTAAACTTTCATTTTTCGCAGATCGTCACTTCACCAGGGTCGTCGTGTATGAACGCGGCCTAATGCATGACCACGAAAAACACTCTCTTTCCAACACTCAACCATGTGTGAATGAGCCCACCACATCTGCTCCATCATTTTAGTGCACTCTAACATGTAGGAAAAGCTGACTTGACGCCCCAACAGGCTTCTCTGCTGCACAAACCTTACTTATTTCACGTTGCACTCCCGGGCAGTCATAACCCTGCGGGATGGGATGGCGCATTTCAAGGACTACTTGTGCAAAACCGAGATCGCCTTAACCATCAAACCATTGCTAAAGGCTAAATGGGGGTGCTTCGCAATTAGTGAACCAATATAGAGAACTGTATTATGTCTGGATGACGTTATTCCCACTTCTTCACAACGACTAGATATTTACAGACCACTCCAAGCCGACGAAACTTGCACAACAGCTTCACCAGTAGAATTGAGCAGGATCTATTTTCTTGCACTCTTGACATATTTGTGATTTCAACGAGCAGTTAGCCTGGGCCGTCCGAGCTATTGAACTTACTGAAGCTCCTTCAGGCTCTGATAAAGGCGAGGAAGTCGATACGGTTGGCCTAAGAAACTGTACGAGTCTGAGACGAAGCTAACTACTCATTTGAAAGCAGTGCAGTGATTTCGAAACCCCTTTCACAGAATCAGTTGTGGATCACTTGCAATTAGAGCATATAAATTACAATAATGTCACGACCTAATTGTCTCTCAACCTTACCTTCTGACGGGTGCTCAAATCCACAATCGATGATGGCTCGTAAAAGCTCAGGCTTCAGAAGGAAATCTCGGAAACCACTGCTGTGGATTGAAGCATAGTTACCCTGAAAAACTGATGTCATGTCAACGTGAGGTTTGCAAGAAGACGCTCACATACCTTGATCTTTTTGGCATCACCAGATCCATTCTCAGCAGCCTTCGGCTCATGAGTTTCCTCTTGCTCCTCCTCATAATCCAAAAGTTGTTCGTCATCCATGTTTTATCTGAAAGTACACGAGCTTTAAAAAGTCACATCTATATCAAACCAAGTCGAGCAACAGGACTTCGCGAATAAGCGGATTATGATACAAATCACAGCGGACAAGAACTGGACAACATAAATCAGCGAGATCGCGGGAACATTCCGCAGAAATCTCCAGCTACTTCATTCCCTTGCTAACTAAAGCTATTTAAAGAACTTCATTTCACGTAAAAGTGTTGAAACTTGAAGAAAAAGCAAGCGACATCGTAGCATACATAAAACCGGGCAGACAGCAGAAGATCACACCGACGCCACGCGGCAAATCGAAAACTGCGCGACGCAGATCGATCCACGTGGGAGTCGCGACTTCGCTGCGGGAACCGCTCCGTTTTCGAGGTCAGGTCCTTTACACATCACGATCGCGGGAGAATTAGCCATACCCTTAGTTGTGGCAGTACCTCAGGTTCTGTTATAACATATCTTCGAATCACAACACATCCAGTTAGAAAATCGTGGGCAAAGGTGCCGCTGAATATGCAAAAATCGATATCCATTCAGACAATGGTGTTGTTTTCGTATGCACAAAGAACGAAAACTTTCATGACAGGATGCGAAATTAGAGGATACAACTGGGAACAACCTTTTCCATAGAGTTCGGCCAAGGGCTACCATCTATAACCAATTTATTGTTTCATTTCATGTGAACGAAATAAATCCTCATTGTCCGAAATCCGAGGTTTATACTCATTATTATGGTTCAACAAAATTATGGAGGAAACGATGGAGGACGTTCCTATCACCACTGCCCGAGTGAGTTTTTTTGATAGGTTTTGCAATGTTTTTAGTATTAGCGTTTGGTTTATAGTAGCAATTACTAAGCGACTTGAATAGATTGAAAGCGAACTGGAAGTCGATATAAGTGTTCTACCTTAAAGTTTGGAAGGCGCAACACCAACAAAAAGGCTTCTGCACCAATGGAACTACTTTTTTGGGTTAAGGATTTAACTGGGTTATCTTGTGAAGCTCCGCACTCCGTTGATGATCGAAGATCAGAGACGCCGCCGCATTTGCCAAGGTTTCGAAGATCAGGTGGGCCGGGCACGTCATGCGTTTCGAGACGACCGCTGGACCAGAGCGATCACCGACTGGATTCCACGGGATGTCAAGCGAACACCTGGACGACCGCCTACGCGATGGTCAGACTTCTTCGTGAAAGCTCTGAACGAATGGTATGAAGTTCATCGTGTCCCTCGAGCAGAGAGAGAGAGTCCATTGGGCAACTCTTGCACGTAGGGAAGAATGGAGACGTTACTGGCGGATGATCAACGAGAGCACAGGTGATACAGGCGATCTTGCGAATAGCAAAAGAATAGAATGTTTGGCTGCGAAACCTACCCGTCGCAGAGTAAGCCACTATACAAAGGTGGGATTGTTCGGAGCTAGTTGCCATAATCGCACTCACTTCTCCCACACATTAAGCTTTACGCGTGCAGGCATACATGCATCGCTACCTTAAGTATTAGCGAACATCTCTTTCTCTTAATGGTGGGCATGAAATTTACGAATGATGGGATCATGTACGAATACGTCATCGACCAACGACCCAGGAATCGTCGCATTTCGGCTTGGAGGGGGGGGGAGAGGGGGGGGAATGGGAGAGCGGGTTTTTCTAGTTTTTTTGGTTTCCCTTGTTACTTGCTGTTAATCACATGTCACATTGATCAAGCCTGTGGACCCTTGTCAAGTGGTAAACGGAACTCATTGTCACAGAAGGCATCAACAGTAATCCACAAGAAACCGCAAAATGTCGCACTAACCAAAAAACGCCCACGAGTTTTCCCGTAATCAAAGAGTTTCCTAATTAATCTGTTTTCACGTATGTGGATACCGCACAATCATCAGAAGTAAGTTCCGTCAGACCACAAATTCTACGGGCCTGAAATGATTAGTAGGGAATCCTTACTAACCTCGTTGAGTTGTATCCTGACACTTTGAAAGAAATGCTAAATAAAAAGTCAATGAACACGTTGGAAACACAACACAGAAACTTCCAGATCTAGTTTG